AGTTTGGCCCCATGTTGGCGGCGCGGCACTTTTCCTTAGTTTTTCCTGCGATGTTTTGTATAATAATAATGGCATCCGTCAATCCCAGGCTACGATGGTCTCTCCTACCGTCGGAAACAACCCCTGACGCCTTGCTGTAAGCTAGGGCTTATAACCGGTAACTGCTGCATCCCGTGTTGTGTCGAGGCTCTTGAACATCGCTAGAGTGACCTCTCCGCGGCACAGACCTGGACAGTTTGATTTGGAGTACAGACGGTTGCACAGGCAGCAGGTACGCTCTCTCTACGTCGCCGATGATACCAAGGGAAAGGCAAAAAACCAACACAGCTTGGAAACGAGGACGTTGCAGGAACTGCTGGAATAACACTGTAAACAATACTGAACCGCCTTAGGGATTGATTTCAGCTTTGGATTTGTCCTCTTACTCCCGAAGCACCTTCCCAATCATTTTGATTGTTTTGTATGATGAAAAGTAATTGTCCTTTCATTTTTTTTTACCCCGTCCTGTCACCTGAATGTTTGACCATCCTGGGATTTCAAAAATCAAGCACAGCAAAGAGAAGAGACATTGTTTGGAGATCCCATTGCATCTGATTTACATTGTGTAGACAATACCTGATTGATTGATTCGTCATTGATTGATTGATTAATTCCAAATTTCAAAAGTGATTTTGGCTCGAAAGTCGACCCAACCTTGAATAGGTACCAGGTAAAGTCCTTGGAAGTAAAAGCGGAACCCATCAAGTGCCAACTGGTCTATAAAATTTCGGTCTAGCCCTATATGCCCAAACCTCCTGAGGCGCAGAAAAATGTCCTTTACTTTACTTTGTACTATTGTCAGACTGTTTTCTTACTTAAGATTTCCGCTGATCTCTTTGCTATCCCATTTGGTTTATCCATTCTTTCAAGTGCCCGTTGTTTCTAAGCTCTAAAAAACATTTCCTCCGAGAAATGCGCTGCTGTTTATTGACTTCCACGTCATCTTCGTGTTAAATTACGCTTTTGTTGAGGATGGCGAACAAGTGGCGTAAGACGCTAAAATAGGTAGTTACCGCAGGAACGCAAATCTGGCGCTTAGTCAAGATCTAGCGTGCGTGACTACAAGGGAGGTAACTGGTGCCGTCTGCGACAGGGATGCCAATGCTGGGTTTTTTCCCCAAGATCTTGGTTTTTTAGTTGCCGTCTTGGTTTCTTGGTTTTTATTTTGAAAATTATTGAAAATCTTGGGTTTTCAGTCTTAATGATGAAAAAAACTACAATTAATAAATATTCTAACAAGAATAATGTGTGTACACATATCTATAATAGTTTACCTGCAAATTATATTTTGAAATGTCCTACAAACACTTAAAATAAACTCAGTGTAATTAATGTAACAGAATACAAAGGTTAACTCCAGGGCTATTCAGGAAAAATGTAGCAGACCACCAAAGGACCAGATTTACGATCCCCAAGTAGTGTCCCTTAAGTAACAGATACTAGGGGCGGAGAAGCAAAAAAGATGAAGCCTGGGACTTTTGATCGTAAACTTTACAGAAGAAAGAAGTGACCTGACATTTAATTATTGAAGAAAGTTTGGGAGACTTTTCCTCTCTTCTAGGGGTAATTGACCTGACATTGTAGCGTCTCAGTGGTTGAATTGAAATAAAGCAGATTAGCAGAAACCAACTAAGGACTACTAGGGAGGGACCTTTAGTTAGGTTTTCACTAGTTTTTTTTTTTTTTTCCTGTGTTGTGGTTTGTTGAACTGTGCTATCAAAATTTACTCTGATTATAACCTTGTTGAATTCAAAATGAGTGAACAGATTACACAATCGAAGAAAAGAAAATGGTATGCTCAGTGTTTCAAAGAGGAATGGCAGTATTGGTACCAATTGAGAAGCATAAAAGATGGCCTAAAATGTAAAATATGATATTTTATCCGCTTTTATGACCATCTCACTATTTTGCCTCACTCGTCAGCAACGGTTGAACGCATATTTTCCCTGATGATCTGTGTCAAAACTAAACAAACTAATTCTCTGAAAGCAGACACTGTAAAAGATCGAATTCTTGCAAGGCAAGCAATCACAAGAGGAAATAGCGACTGCACGACATGGACACCTAATAAAGAATTGCTAAAAGAATTGCAAAGTGGCGCAGTTAGTCAAAGATATTTAAACAGAATAAAAAAATAAAAAAAAACAGAAAGAGACGGTGACAATTGAAATTAGTGAAGAAGGAGAGCTGTTAGAGTAACAGTTTAATAAAGGTGGGTATGTGTTCAGTTTCATAACTATAAAATACTTTTTGCACAGTGCTGGGTTTTTTATTTTATTTTTTGTTCATATCTTGAGTTTTCGTCAGCCCCATCTGGGTTTTTGACAAAAATCTCATTGGCAGCCCTGGTCTGCGAGGAGCGGTTCTCTTTCCTGAGTTTAATGGGGTTTTTTTCCATTACTCGAAACTGACTGATAAATTAAAGTTTGGGCGGACGCCTGTCCTAGTGCTTGTGGCTGTTGATGATGGTAATGCTGACGTTGGGCTTGGAATTGTAAAATATGTTTTCATGTGTAGATTTAGAAGCGTCTCATGGGGAGGGGAGAAGAGAAAGAAGGGGGGGGGGGGGGTAATTCCGTCAGTCAGTAGCATGTCCTTTGCAGAACCTTGCTCTAATAACAACCCTCTAGAAAATGTCTCGATCATCTATCTTGTCGCCCCTTGTGGGAAGCAATTTTTAGATATGTTGAAACCCCAACCTGGCTTTTTCCTGGGGCCCTAAATACAGCCAGGCCTTAAATATGGCCTAACTGCTGAACGGGGTTTCCGAGACCTCTCCACGGGTGATCCTCATCCGCATGGTGGCTCTTTGTGTCACCGGGTGGTTCTCGCTTGTGTGTTGTCCTGATGGGGTACAACTTACCTACCTAACTTCTCGATCACAAGCAAGATGTCCCGTGTCCGATACACCCTTCTGGAGATTATCAGCCACATCCTGCACCCATCTTCTCTGTGGCCTTTCTCTGCCTCTCTTCCCATGCATATAAACCTCCATTATTGTTCTCTCTAACCTTTCATGACGTTTTAAGTGACAAAAATATTTAAGTTTTCTGTGTTTTATCGTTTTTAATAGCCAACCTCCTTCAGTATTCAGTTCTTGAAGTATGGATTCATGTGTTCTTTTCTTTACCCATGATATTCTTAGAACCCGTCTATAACATTTGTAATCAAATGCATTCATTTGCTGTTCAGCTTGTCTAGTAAGTGTCCAGATTTCACAGGTGTATGTTGCAATGAGAAAGACGCGTGTGTTTAGACATCTTATGTGTATAGTTCTGTATGTCCCACTCCATAATGTATTCAGTTGTCTTAGTCTTTGAAGAGCAATTCATAAAGGTCTTTAATTTTATTTCAGTGTGTCAGCATTGTTGGTAATCAAAGACCCAAGATATTCAAAATTGTCTACAACCTCTAATCTTTCCTCATTAACATACGTTTCTTTCTCCATAGTAGTTTCATTTGTATGCATTATCATTGTTTTTTGCCATGTTAAGATATAAGTTGTGATTTTCACTATTTCTTTGAGTTGCGGTTATTAAGTTTTTGATACCAGTCTGTGATGTGGATAGCGATACTGTATCATCGGCATTTCGGATCTCTGGTACTTCATGATCACCGACATTTAAGGCATCAAACTGCTCTCTGGTTATATCATCTCTGACATTTCTCATGATATTTTCGGTGTACAGGTTAAACAAATAGGATGACAGCAAACAGCCGTGACAGACTCCTTGCTTGATGTCAGACCGGTCTGATGTTTCACCATCTATTCTAAATGCTGCTTGTTGGTCTAGATAGAGCATTGTTATGAGGTTTATGGAGAGATTACGCTGCTATAATATACCTTATCCATTTTACCAGATTTTCATGTTAAAACAAATAACAGATAACAAAAATTGTTATATAATTCCGTCCCCACGTGGGACTCAAATTTTTTTTTTTGAAGGGGGGGGGGGGAGCCCCGCTGTGGCCAGGGTCCTAATATAACCCAAAATGATGTGAGTTGATCAGTGTTTCTGGGACCTGTCTCTGGGTAATCCTCATCCGAATGGTGGTACTTTGTGTCACCGGGTGTTTATCGCACTGTGTGATATCCTGGTTGGGTAAAACGTCAGTCAGTCATAGATTAAAAACTAGGAATATTGATGGAACAACAAAATATTTGATGGATTTTGTTTTTAAAACATACAATAGTGTATAAAGGAACAATTTGTGGAATGGTATAGAGCAGGGCTATTCAACTAAGTTGGCTCAGGGGCCAAAATGTTCAAAAAAGGGGATTGTCAAGGGCCAGAGGCCCCAGCCTCAGCATAGAAAGTTTTAAAATACAATACAGCTAGAAGTGATCCGCGGGCCATTGGCTGGGCCTTGGCGGGCCAGATTTGGCCCGCAGGCCGCCAGTTGAATAGCCCTGGGATAGAGGAATTGGAAATATGAAAAACATGAATCAACCTGACAGACTATACATACAGGAGACTTATAATATAGTAACATGTAAAGGCAGGAAGTCAGACCCATTTCAGATAGCCACTGATTTAATTCAGAATCTTCCACGAGCCTATGTACCCTTTAAAAATAATGTGCATTCGTCTGTTCTCTCCTCTCATATTGTTGCTGCTTCGCTTTTTCTTCTCCCCACCGTCTCGCCCCTTTCTTCTTCTTCTTCTTTATTATTTTTATTTTCTATACTTTATTCTTTTCTATTCTTTCTTCTTCTTCTAGTCTATTTTTCTTTTTCTTCTCTATTTTTCTTCATCTTCTCTATTTTTCTTCATCTTTATCTTCTTCTTCTTCTTCTCCTTCTTCTACTTCTTTTTCCACTACCACTACTGCCGCCACCACCAGTGCCCAGTCAGGGATATATACACATCAAAGATCATTAGTCAGCAGTTATCTTTATCTTGCTATATATTTGTTTTTTACACTGATGTTAACGGAATTAATATTTTCTTTGATTTTAGTCGGTGACCAACGAAGATGTTACACACGAGGAGCTTGGAGGAGCTAAAACTCACACAACTGTATCAGGTAAATCCCTTTCTTATGTTTTCTAATTCTGTTATGTCTGTACTTTTTTTTTAATGCCTTCTATGTTTCTTCTTTCTTTCTGTCAATGACATCTGCACAAAGATGCCCAGAAAGGAAATGTGTGCTGACTGTCACCCATCAGCCAACACTAGAATTGAATGGGACCACATAAAATTCATAATGAGCAGAGAGCAAAGTGGAAAACACGAAAAGTAGAGTAAAAACATCACAAATAATCTTGAAGAAATTGTTACCATTGCAGGCTACACACTAGACAGAGTACACACAGATAGATGAATTACCTTTCCTAACCCAGTAGCATTCACTTCCTGCTTGGTCCTCTGTGTCTGGTATTTTGACTGCTTTTCCAGGACTTTAGTACTGCAGGGACCTCAGTTTTCCAGATTCTGCTTCTTGTGTGCAGACTGGTGGGTCCTGGCCTCGGGCAGATACACTCTATCTTCGGAGAAAATGTGGAGCCTATCTAGAATAAGGACCTGTTCAAAGAGGACCACATATTGTCGTAGATAGATTTTGACCACTATCAGTCCTGGTACACTACTGTGGGTGATGATGCATTTCTGCACCCTGAGTATGACAGCCTTTTTCTGTTGATTGTGATAAGTTGTTTTTTGCATGTTAGCCTATATCAGACTGTCTAGATTACCCATTTTGGCTGCTGAATCTCTGGGTATCTGTTATTTCTGGCTGCTGAAATCTTGGGTGTTATCATTGGGTGTTTCTTTACTGTTACCCTATAGAATCAAATTATAGCTGCAAAGCTACTTGTAGATCTTTCTCTCCTTCTTCATCATTACTGCCTTAAGTTAATTGCTGCATATATCACTAGCTTCATTCATCTCTGAGATTTCATCTGGCAACTTCAACTGTTTTCTGTCCACTGAATATGTCTCCACTGTCTTCTTGGTCTGCCACATGGTACCTGTATATGGGAATATCTATTATGTATTAGTTAGCTAGTTGATAGATCATCCTCATGGCCTATCAGACCATTAATTTCATAAAGTGATATGCTACCCTCTTCAGCTAATTTTTTTTTTAATGCATTTGGCTGGAAGCACCAGTTTTGTGTTGGTTTATTTGTATTGAGTGGTTTCCCCAGCATAGTGTTCTCTCATGGCTTCACTCCTTTTGATTTGTAGTTGCGCAAAGTCGTTATCACCAGAGATTAAGGTATCTATGTGATAACATTAAAGTTTCATTTGAAGATTTGAAAAAAAAAAAAAGGGAAGGACCTTTTTATACAAATGGTACATCAAGCATATGAATGCTGGATCAAAAAAGGACCAACCAACTGTCCTAGGCGAGCAGGAGGCACTCTGCCAGGCTGAAACACCATGTCAATTGATGTCCCAGTGGCAGTACACGACATCTCTCCAAGCATTGACTATAGCTAATGGTGGGAAAGGATGGTTCCAACCAAGACAGTAATGTACCCAGAGAGGAGAGCTGGCCGAGGCGAGGTCATGAACAGGGTACAAGGTGCTGACATGGCCGGAATGGCTTGTTCCAGAATATAGCGAATCAGTAGCATTAAGGTGCCACAGATTATGAAAGGACAAAGCTGAGTCACTCCTGGCCAAAAGGCAGAGAATGCAGAGGATTGCCATCTCAAGGGCAGACTGGCTCCTGAGAAAGTAATCCTAGTGAATATCAAGATGGAGCATGGGTTTTCACTGGTAACCTGTCTGTTCTTTACTAGTAGCAAGATTCAGCAGCACAATAGGAGAACAGTAATGCATAGATCCACCCCTAGATAGTGTAAGGAAAGTAAAGGGACTGAAATATTTGAAAAGGACTTCTTCTGACGATCAGAAGACTTCTGGTGTGCTCGTTCCTCGAAGGAATTTCTACTACATGGAATCATATTTTTATAGACCAGTTAGCACTTGGTTGGCGATGTTATCAACAGCATACCGGGTATATTTCAGCAGAAAGCAACATACAACAATTTTCCATCTGTGTATAGGACACTGCAAGCTCAACTGTCACATGCATAAAATAAAGACTGTACAGTCCCCACAGTGTGCCTGAGCACATTTTGCAGACCTGCCCACTCTACATACAACTTCAAAAAGACCCTGGCCTCAAGAGCAAAGTGTGCAGAGCAAGCTATGGGGAACCATGCAGGACCTGCAGCTGACATGTGAGTTCATAGAGGCAACCCATCGTCTGACCTGAGCATATGAAACCAAATGCAAAGAAGAAGAAGATACTGGGTATTTGGAAGTTGTGTCTATTAAATGTGCTGCGGTGTTTACCTCTCATCTCAGGTGTTGCTCACAGAGCATTTGACAATGATGTGGATGCTTTGATGAACCTGCGAGAATTCTTTAACTACCTGCCTCTAAACAATAAAGATCAGGCTCCAATACGAGAATGTGATGACCCATGGTAAGATTTTGTGAGCATACATGTTAAGTTCTATGCAATTGTAAATCAAATTTTAAGATGCATTTAACTGAACATGAGACACATGGTAAGATCTCTGTAACCATGATTACGTTTTCGGATTTCTGTAACTATGAACACAAAAGTACACTTTAAAACCTAAATAACTGAAAACAGAACATACGGCAAGGTCTGTAAAGCAGAAGGTATTTTAAAAAATTAGGTAAAATCAATGTGACACAAAAATATAAATCAGTCAATGAGATCTTTATTACAGTAAACATTTTAAAACAAAGCTAGATACAGTCTCTGTACTTTGAAAATATCAAAGTAGAAAAGATAACTTTGACCGTTAGTTAGTTAGTTAGTTAGTTAGTCTTTCCTCTTGAGCCTAGGGCTGCATAGGGCAGAGGTCACTGTGAATCCAGTGCTAACTTTGACAGTCTGAATTCAAAACAGTCGTTGAGAACTTTGTAACAGTAAACATTTTGAAATAAGGCTAGAGACAATCTCTGTGAAAGTGAAAATAAAAAGTAGATAAGATCACGTTGACAGTGAGTAAATGTAGAACAGATCTTTGTAAAAGTAAAGGACCCTTTTCCGTACCTGAAGGCACATTGGGCATATAGAGCTTGACCGATATTTTATAGACCAATTGGCATGTGCTGAGTGATGTGGTCAGCATCACGCCGGCCACTTTGTAACAGTAAACACTTGTGTTTTTGTTTTAACCTACAAATCTAGAGTTACATGGCCAGTGCATTTGCCATGACATGTACATGTTAAGAAATGTATTTTCTATCTTGACCCCCAAAAAAAACTGTTGTTATACCTAGGTCTGTGTGTATCAAACTATCTAGATACATGACAAGGCAGATGTGATCAAGGCCCTGGGGAATCGGAATCAGTAGAGAAACAAGATTATTATGGCCTGGAGAGAATGAGGCACCTGGGTGTAACCAGAGGGTCTCGCCGGCTCACTACACTTAGAGGAAAGGCAAGACAGACATAACGAGATTGTGACCGGCACTGTCAGTATTGGAACTGAAAATGGCTGTTGAAAATGAGGACTGAGCATGCATGGGAATGCTCCAAGTGCTGTGGTGTCAATTCTTGACTCAACTCAACTCTGACTATCTAGATTACTAATTTGAGCTGCCCCGTTTCAGTCATCAGTAGAAGTGTTTCTTTACCGTAGCCACATAAAATCAGATTATAGCTGAATATCCATTAGTAAATCTTTTCCCTCTTCTTCATTCCGAGCACTTGAGGTATCTTCTTCTTCTTCTTATAGTCCATGCGGTGTGGTGTTGGTAGTCGTGTCAGTCCACAACCTTCTGTCTCATATACCTTCGGTCAACTCTGACACAGATGATCCTCCACCCCATGATGTCAGACTGTCCAGCATCTTTTATCTTGGCCTCCCTCTGCCTCTCCTCCCCTCCAACCTTCTTACTGTCACAATGTACTCCAGTTTTCTTCTTCTCATCACTTGACCAAAAAATTTAGATTGTCTCTTTCTGATGTGGGCAGTCAATTCTCTTGAGGTTCATTAGTGCATATTTCAGAGCCTAGTGTGTTAACTTTTCAAGTCTCAAACAATACACGGTGTGTTGCCGACCTTTCCCCACGTGTCTCAAACATCACGCCAAGTTTCTCCTTGTATTTCAGTTTTGGTCAGTGTATACTAAATTTCCTGCTACACAGCACGTGGTTAGAGTTATCGTAGGAGAGTTTAAATGAAAAATAATGATTTTTGAACAAAACCATGTAAGACTGAAAGAGTTAACCATTTGGCAAAACACTCTTTGCAACTGACAGCTAAACTACACGCATGCACGCACGCGCGCGCGCGCGCACACACGTGTGTGTGTGTGAAAAACATAAAAGAATGGGTCAATGAGGAATCAAGTGCAGATTTTTCCAGGAGGGACATAAGAGGAAGAGAGCGACATGTTTATAATCAGATTGCTACGGGAACAGTTAAAATTTACACCTTAAGACATTTGCTGCAGGCGATGGAACACCTATGGGTATACCCAATGTGCTATGATATTGCTTCTTAAATCAGTAATCAGTACTTAAAACATCCATGCAGTGTTTAATAGCATGATGACATAGAACCCTACAACAATAGTAAATTAATATATACATTTAGATGCTGGTGATGTTAAATGTTGACTTGTTTTTGTGTGTGTGTTTTTTGTGTGGTTTTTCTCAGGGACCGAATTGTACCAGGTCTAGACACAGTTGTCCCTCTGGAGTCTACGTCAGCTTACGACATGCATGATGTCATTACTGGTGTAAGTTCCATTATGTGTTAAGTTATTCATCATCATCATCAGCAAGTAGCAGGTCCTTTGCAGAATGTCACTGTCATCACGGTCTGCCTGAAATAAACCCGGCCTCTCACTAGCTCTCCAGCCTTATGCACTTTTCTACCCAAGGTGTCATCTATACCCTACGCCCATCTTCATCCTAGTCTACCGCTGCCCCCTTTCCTGACACAATGCTCTCTGCTACTATCCTTTCCAATCTAATGTGGCACTTGATACTGCCAAAATATTTCAGTTTCTACACAAGGTGTTGTTTACTAGCCAATCTTCCTTATGTTCAGATCTTTTAGAATGTCATATATTTTACTTCTTCTTCTTTTTTATTGTTATTTAATTTTTTCATTTTATATTTATTCGTATTTTGAATCTTCTTTGTCACCATCTTGTCCTGATAGGGGTTATATATAAGGGGTTTTGGTGGCGAAGTGGTTAAGAAATCTTTCCACATGCTCTGAAGGTCATAGCTTAGTTTCACAGACATGTAATTCGTTTCTCAAGAGCAGTTTTGATTGAGGTCACTGGATCTATGGAGTTTGTTCTTTATGTGCTGCTCTCGACAAATGGCCAGCCTCTAACTTTAAGGGTTTATTTATGTCCCCATGGCACCAAGGGATATAGAATAATAGTAAAAAGTCTGCATGCCTTGACGTGTTTGTTATATGTACCTTATGTTGGTATATATCAGTTAACACTCAGTATAAAGACATTTACAGAATTGCTACACAAATTATTCAGAAACATTTAGGAGACTGAAGAAGGAGGTGGCTTGGATATGTTTGCAGAATGCCTCATGACACTTTGGCAAGAACAGCTCAGAATGACATGGGATACAATAGCAGAAAAGTAGCAGACCTTCAACACTGGAGATCATTTGTGAAGGTCTTATGTGTTCATAGCATTAGAGCAACTCCATGTGTATGTTCACTATCATTTTTTCCAGAGTAGAGTATGGTCTTCCCACTATTATGTGTCAATCTTCCTTGACCAGGTCATCTGCTTTCACTTACTGCCAGAATGTCTGTCTTATTGTTTGCCATTTCCTTGGCAGTTTCTGTGAATCTGCCTGCTTCATACATCGTTCTGACGTTCCAACAGGCAAACTGAATTATGTTTCTGGGCACCAAGAGGCAGGTCATTGGGGCTGTGTTTCCTGGCAGGCCTTCCCCCATTCCTTCATCATTGACAGTTATCCTGTCACCTACATCTATGACATCCGGATCTCCATGAGTATTATTTATATTTATGTATGTCTCTATTTCTGTTATATTTTTTTTTTTTTACAGTGTTTAGTTGCTGGCCCCATGTCCAACCCCTCTTAGTCATCTCTTATGACATGCTGAGAGGATGCAGTGGTCCTATTCTTTCTGACACCAGGCACCACACAATGAAAACCTGTTTAGGCAGCATTAATTATTTAAACTAGTCCAAGAGATTCTTGTGTGAACATACACGAATGCCTTTGCCATCAGGTGAGGCATATCAGTATGATCATAAATTGTTTTAACTTATACAATCTATTCTCCTTTGCAGGTTATAGACGAACAAGAATTCTTTGAAATTATGCCAGCATATGCAAAGAACATCATTGTTGGGTTTGCTCGTATGAATGGACGCACAGTAGGCATTGTGGGTAACCAGCCAAAAGTTGCAGCAGGTTTGTAAATGTGAAGTTGCGCAATCCTACCATTAGTTTATAAACCCAGAGCACATGAAGTGTTGTTATCTGTGATACTGTTGTCTGAATTTTATCATGATATAGTCATTTAAGTTAAGTTGCATATCTTTTTCTTGTTTTCAGGATTTTGCTAACCAACCACAGCATTTATTGACTTTTTTTTAAAGGGTGAGGGGGGGGGGGGGTTGGCTAAGCAATTTTATATTCTGTAGTTTGCTCATACCATTGTCAAAATCATCACAAAGCAACTTCCTACCACATCATCTGCAGCTTGTTGCAGAGGTTTTAAGTTTTGCATGCACATCTGTTGTACTGCTCTGACAGTACACACACAAGGTTCTTTACCTCTCAGACTCCCGGGCAGTTAGGAAATGTTGGGAAATGAGCACTTGGTGATAAACTGATGTATGACAAGCTGGATGTTGTGAGGGCCTTTTGGGAGCGAGTGAACAGTGCAGAGGAACAGATAGATCATTACAGTCTGAGGAGTATGGCGTTGTGAGGAGTTACAAGGGGATCTGGCTGATGCTCAACACTCAGGGGAAAGGCGAGATGGATATACAATCAGACAGTTACTGGTGCGATCAGAATTTTATCTCTTCGCTTGCTGCTGAAGATAGGGACGAAGCGCTAATGGGGGTGTTCCCAAGTGCTGTGATGTCAATTTTTCATTCAGTATTCAACACTCTCCTCTCAGACAGAGGTACTCGGTACTCCAACATCAAAGGAACACTCCCCCCCTCCCTTCCCATTAATCAGCTTTTATACCTTTATGACCTGCTTGTTAGAAGTTCACTGGGTCTGCCTAAACCCAGCCCGCTTCCACCTCCTCCCCCCCCCCCCTCTCCCAGTGGGCCTGTGGAAGCCAGGGATTTTTGATATTTGTAATAAGTGGATTTTTGTGGTACTGCACCTGGTGAGTGTCAGAGGCCAGTTCGGCTACGGATGAACGGAGTTGATGATAGTGAATCACCCGATGAGCTATAGTTAAGCATCAGCAAGGAGATCAAAATTAGAATTTTGAGAGCATGCATTTTCTACATACGGATGTGAGTCCTGGACTATCTCTCAGTCCTTAAAAAAGAGAATAGGGGCTTTTGAGCTAAAATGCTATAGAAAGATTCTCAGAATATCTTGGACAAAGAAGAGGCGAAATACTGACATCTTGAAAGATATGAGCATCAAAGAAGATAGGCTAATAAACAGCATCCTGTCTCGTAAGCTGAAATATTTTGTTCATTTCAAGCGCCCTGACGGATTGGAAAAAAAATTATAGCAGAAGTCATGGTACCAGGAAGGAGGGGCAGGGGCCGACCGGCACGAAGATGGGCACAGGATATAAGTGACTCCTTGAGGATGAAAGTACATGAGGCGGGAGACCGAGTTTCCTTCAGGCAGACTGTGATGAGAGCTATGTTCTGCAAAATACCTGCTACATGATGGATTGATGCACCTGGTGAGATAAAGGGAACTATGCCAAACAATAAACTGAGCATGGTATTGTTTGTCTTCTCATTATCTAAATTACTAACGTAAAAATACTGTTTTGAAATTTCAGGTTGTCTGGATATCAATGCCTCAGTGAAAGCAGCACGGTTCGTGAGGTTCTGCGATGCTTTCAACATCCCTCTGATCACATTCGTAGATGTCCCTGGATTCCTGCCAGGTAAGGTTTTATCAGAGGCACTCGACTGCCGGCGCAAAGGTTTTTGGCTGCATCAAGGTTGATGTTTTCAGAATTGTCCTTGGTTACCGATGACCCAGCTTTAAATAGTAAAAGGGAATGTCTTAGAAAGTAAAGGCAGCTGGTGTGATGTTGATGTTGCCCATATCACTCTTCAAGTGCCAACAGGACAATAAAAATATGAGTAGCACTATATGCCGAATGCACCACTGACATAAAGAAGGTTCTTTACTTCTAAGGTTTCATCCAGTGCATAAAAAAGCCAGATTTTTTTTCTCAGGTAGTATACAACTGTACGCAGTATAGGTACCTTTTTAGGTATCATTTTTTCAGAGCTACTGAAATAGACAATTTGACAGCACTTTTTTCTTCTTGAATAGAAGCCCCTGCTAGAAAGTATTACTGTAACATTCTATACTGCTGCTAGTATGCAGAGGAATTTGCTGTAGCAGACACCTGCTATGGAAGCAAAGCCAGATGACGACAACGCAAGCGATGGATAGATGAAATAGCCTAGACTGTAAATACCCACATCTGCATAGCAGATACCAAGGCTCTCACAAGATGTCTCTTCAGAATCTGACACTAAAAGACAGGACCGGACTAGAAAAGAAGAAGACACCACTGCGACTTACACAACACTACTTATCTGCTAATTGTGGGTGACATAGAGATTAGGAAACAAGTCTCACATTGCTCAAGGTACCTGGGATATATTTTTGCAGCAGCCGGTTTTGAAAAAGAGTTTTTGTGGTTTTCAGACTGTTGCATGAGTCTCACCATGGAGAAATTGGGAATCTCGCCACAAAGTATTCTGAAAGACAACAGTAGATGCATACAACTCTGCAGTCCGACTCTGTTGTGGTGATCAAAAAATTTTTATTTAAAGTAATTTTTTCTGTACTCTTTGTCAGGCACAGCCCAGGAATATGGAGGTATCATTCGGCATGGAGCAAAATTGCTGTATGCTTTTGCCGAGGCCACAGTTCCAAAGATTACCATCATCACTCGAAAGGTAACAGGACAACTATAGTTCCATAGCCAGTGTCTTCCAAGAAAGTTATTTTGTTGTTTTGTTTTTAAGTGTTAGTTTCTTTACTAAATACATTATCACTATAATCCTTTTGTGCCCTTCTTGCGTCACATATCTCTCAGTCTATTCTTCCATTTCACTGTTATGTCAGGGATTGAATCCAGTTCACCACCTGTGGCCTCTCTCAATAACATGTATTAACTTTTTATTGTACTAAATTTAACTGCCCAGCTTTGCCCAGGATAGTGAAAGAAAGAAAGTTTTATTCTTATCTCAGTCTCCACCTCTGCTGTATATGTAGTAGAAACTCCTCGAAGGAGTGAGCACAACATGAGCCTTCTGTCTATGAGTTTCTCTTGGATGCCCTCATTTCCTAAGCTTGTCAATGTCCCATATCAGTGCATGTCTGGTGATTCTCTGAATTTTCTGTAGCAGATACATTTGTACAGGGTGTGGGCGCTGACCACTGAGTCACAGCCCAAGGTTGGAGTGGTAGGAAACCAATGCAAGAAGATCTGCTGCCAAATTGCCTGCAGTTGAGATTGCACCAAGCAACCTGGCATTACGAAGTACATTCACAGTGCCTAAGCTAGAGACACAGCTTCACCTCATGCGTTTATTGGAGTTGCCTCACAGTCTGAAGAGATTGGTGCAGTGGAGGGTGACCAGGGGATAACTTCCTAATTGTCCTTCTCATGCAGTGTATTTCATGGCATCCTGTCCCTGTTTATCCACATCTAGTAGAGGCCAACCTCATTGTCTTCTACACACGTGTAATTCACCGTAGAAGTTGTTCTTAGGTATCATCCTCCATTCTCTCAGTGTGTCCAACCATCTAAGCCTTCAAAGAGAGACTTCACCATCCTCCATTCTCTCAGTGTGACCAACAATCTAAGCTTTCAAAGAGAGACTCCACCATCCTCCATTCTCTCAGTGTGTCCAACCATCTAAGCCTTCAAAGAGAGACTTCACCATCCTCCATTCTCTCAGTGTGTCCAACCATCTAAGCCTCTCTATGTGTCTCCTATCCATCTGAGCCTTTAAAGAGAGACTCTGCCATCCTCCATTCTCTCAGTGTTCCTATCCATCTGAGCTTTCAAAGAAAGGCTTCACCATCCTCCCATTCTCCTTGTGTATCCTATCCATCTGAGCCTTCAGAGACTCTGTCATCCTCCACTCTCAGAGTATGTGCTGCCTGACCGCAGCATTAGTTTCTTTACCAAACCTCATTCCAGTATGGGACGCAGTTTATTTGTTATTTTAAAGTCTACCCAGGCTGTAGTCGAGGGCCCTAATTTAACCTAACGGTTGAGCAGGGTTGTTGGGACTTGGGTGATTCTCAATCGAATAATGTTGTGATCCTGGTGGGGTTGAACATCACTCGTTAATTTCTTTTGCAGACACATTAATCTCACACTTAATATGAACAGAATTGTCACTCTTTCATTGTCCCAGGCTTACGGAGGGGCATATGATGTCATGAGTTCTAAACATCTGAAAGGGGACATCAACTATGCCTGGCCTACTGCTGAGGTTGCAGTCATGGGAGCAAAGGTGAGAGGTCATAGTAGGTGTACTGTTGTCATGTAGCAGTGCCTGAATTTACATTTATTTGTTCTGTCCCATGTATTGTTTTTACCTCTTCCTTAGGAGCCGTGGTAGCATAGCAGCTAGGCACGCATCTGCCCACCCAGAGATCCTGAGTTCAAATCTGCATTGAGTTAGATTTTTTAAAAGGGGAACCTTTTCCCAGGTCAACCCAGCCTAAAATTGTTACCAGGTAAAGTCCTGGTAAGTGAAGGTGTCCAGCGTGATGTTGACCATATCACCAGTCGAGTACAAATTGGGCTGTACAAATATGAGTCTAACCTCGCAGGCTTGATGCGCCGGTTGCATAAAAAAAACCTTTATGTTTCCTCACTAACCTCTGCTTCAGCGATACTGTGGTGGCTAAAAAACAGCATCTTATCTCAGAAGCTGAAATATTTTGATCATATCAAGCCATGACGGATTGGAAAAAATAATAGCAGAAGGCATGGTACCAGGAAGGAGGGGCAGGTGCCGATCAGCTCGAAGATGGGCACAGAATATAAGTGACTGAAAGTATATGAGGAGGGAGAGCTGGTGAGAGACCGAGTTTCTTTCAGGCAGACCGTGATGAGAGCGACATTCTGCAAAGGGCCTGCTACATGATGATATTGTGGTGAAGGAGTATCCATTTAACCATAAAAAACACTTCTTATTGAGCTGTGTACAGATTTTAGGGATCGGCTCTGTGGCTAAGTTGATGAGAACGCTTCGTAATGCCGGGTTCGATCCCAGCTTTGGGCCATGCGCCTTGCCTTGGTTTTGACAGAGGTATCAAGAAAGCCGACCATCTAAAAAGCAGTGACAAACTACTGGATATAAATTTGCTTAAAAAAACCACACAACAGCCCAGGGACTGTTGAGGTTGGTTCTGCAACGTCCTGTAAACTAACCAGAGATTTCAGGTGTAGTGGTCTGGGGCAGTCATGAAATTCACAACTCTTCAGTCCACACCGGTGATATTGACAGTGTTATAAATCTCTACTCCTCTCTGGTGATATTGACAATTATAGATCTCTACTCCTCTCTGGTGATATTGACAATTATAAATCTCTACTCCTCTCTGGTGTTATTGACAATTATAAATCTCTACTCCTCTCTGGTGAAATTGACAGTGTTATAAAACTCTACTCCTCTCTGGTGATATTGACAATTATAAATCTCTACTCCTTTCTGGTGATATTGACAATTATAAATCTCTACTCCTCTCTGGTGTTATTGACAATTATAAATCTCTACTCCTCTCTGGTGAAATTGACAGTGTTATAAAACTCTACTCCTCTCTGGTGATATTGACAATTATAAATCTCTACTCCTCTCTGGTGATATTGACAATTATAAATCTCTACTCCTCTCTGGTGATATTGACAATTATAAATCTCTACTCCTCTCTGGTGATATTGACAATTATAAATCTCTACTCCTCTCTGGTGATATTGACAATTATAAATCTCTACTCCTCTCTGGTGATATTGACAATTATAAATCTCTACTCCTCTCTGGTGATATTGACAGTGTTATAAATCCCTACTCCTCTCTGGTGATATTGACAATTATAAATCTCTACTCCTCTCTGGTGATATTGACAGTATTATAAATCTCTACTCCTCTCTGGTGATATTGACAGTATTATAAATCTCTACTCCTCTCTGGTGATATTGACAATTATAGATCTCTACTCCTCTCTGGTGATATTGACAGTGTTATAAATCTCTACTCCTCTCTGGTGATATTGGCAATTATAAATCTCTACTCCTCTCTGGTGATATTGACAGTGTTATAAATCTCTACTCCTCTCTGGTGATATTGACAATTATAAATCTCTACTCCTCTCTGGTGATATTGACAATTATAAATCTCTACTCCTCTCTGGTGATATTGACAATTATAAACCTCTACTCCTCTCTAGTGAAATTGACAGTGTTATAAATCTCTACTCCTCTCTGGTGATATTGACAGTATTATAAATCTCTACTCCTCTCTGGTGATATTGACAGTATTATAAATCTCTACTCCTCTCTGGTGATATTGACAGTATTATAAATCTCTAATCCTCTCTGGTGATATTGACAATTATAGATCTCTACTCCTCTCTGGTGATATTGACAATTATAAATCTCTACTCCTCTCTGGTGATATTGACAATTATAAATCTCTACTCCTCTCTGGTGATATTGACAATTATAAATCTCTACTCCTCTCTGGTGATATTGACAGTATTATAAATCTCTACTCCTCTCTGGTGATATTGACAGTATTATAAATCTCTACTCCTCTCTGGTGATATTGACAGTATTATAAATCTCTACTCCTCTCTGGTGATATTGACAGTATTATAAATCTCTACTCCTCTCTGGTGATATTGACAATTATAAATCTCTACTCCTCTCTGGTGATATTGACAGTATTATAAATCTCTTCTCCTCTCTGGTGATATTGACAGTATAACAAATCTCTACTCCTCTCTGGTGATATTGACAATTATAAATCTCTACTCCTCTCTGGAGATATTGACAATTATAAATCTCTATTCCTCTCTGGTGATATTGACAATTATAGATCTCTACTCCTGGTTGTCACATATCACTCCTGTCGCGTGCCTGATTTAAGGATTTCTCATTAAGAACCACCAGCACTCTGAAATAATTATGTTGAGTCGTTGTCTCGTATTGGTCTAAGGGATGCCCCGTGGCCAATATACGCTCAACTTATTTCAGGAGTAGGGCAACTCAAGTTTTGGCACTACAAAATAAATAATATTCCTAGGCGCACTTGGCTGGACACCCCCACTACTATAATAAGATAGCCCCCAGGTTATGATAGTCTACTATCATAACCATGTTAACACAGATAACACTTATTACTCACACAAACATCAGAGCTAGACAGTTAGAATGGTGAAATAGGGACACCCAAGTCAGCTATGAAAATGTATGCATGTAATCAGTACAATATATACATAAAATAGTGAATAGATAAACAAGATCTCAGTGAATGGAGCTTAGGACACAATGGCACGACCCAGATATTGAAGCAGCCAGATTGCCTTGAGATGTACATGAGTTCATCACTGGAATCACGAGGAGCTGTGGGAAGAGAGCATGATGGTAATTCATAGATTACTTAGCCCAGTTCGTAGGTTGATGCTCCCCTCAGTCCATGGTGATTCGACTGTAGTTGACTCAGGTATCTCTGTCTCTAGTTGATCTGTTACCAGTTGATTACCTCACCACCGAGGACACAGGAACTGCACAGGGACTCAACAAGTCTCTCTCACAGGTCAGGTCACAAAACTGCCTCAGAGCTCAACCAAGCTCTTGAAAACTGGTTCACTAGGTTGAGGACACAAATGTCTGCAAATGTCCACTCGTCCTGGAGCTCACAAACACGCTCTTGCCATGTTGAGGTAGTGGCAAAAAGGGCAGGACATGGTTATGCTTGGTGCATAGAATGGTATGGGTTGGTTGTTGTTGGCTGGACTGTGATTCGTCTGCCTGATCTCTACAGAGGTCTCGCCTGTCAGGAAAGAACTCAGAATTAGTAATCACTAAGGAGATACCATCCTGTCAGGAAAGAACTCAGATTTAGTAATCACTTCAATCACACATCAGCTCATCCCACCTCTGCTCCACTTCTCCATTCCTCAGAGTGTACTCTCAAGACCAGGAGACAATGTCTCCCTTCATTTATCTGTCTGTAAACTAGTGCAACAGATAGAAAACCAGATATATAGTGGAGATAGATAGACACTACCACACATAGATCATCCTCTCTCCACCCTCACATCTGCACTCGCAGACATACCATGTTTACAGTTAGTACCTATATATATATCCCGTCTCCACAGGCCCTTCGCTACACACCCACTGAATCTGTGTCAAACACACTCGACGCAGAGCGCTTAGCCCTGACTGCCGGTTAACGATGACCTAAATTCCCTGTTCCAGTTATGCGACACAAAACTTTGTTTGACTGGTCAGAGAATAAGTACTTGTAGGGTTTAATATCTTTACAAATGGTGTGGGTTATGTAGAGCACCAACTAATTAGTCTGTACAGGGGAAGGTCTAAGGTTCGGATCCTGATCTCTGGACATCAAGAACGGTCGAACTCTGTGCGATCACACACCTGACTCTGCCCTCTCTACAGCAGTGGTCAACTTTAAAAAGACATCAGTTATGGTACTCGTAAACTATAATCAACTTACCCAAGCTTAGGAAATCTTCCAAGTTAGAACTGGAACTATGAATGCGCCAAATTCTACAAAGACTGGATATCCGTCTTGACACTTTGGGATCAGGAGAAAGAATGCCTGTTTCAAAATCAAACCAGCATTACCAGGAAAGAAGTTCCTTGTATTCGTGAACAAGGAGTAAACCGGTTGACAGGAATTTCTAAATAAAATACCATAATTCGCCAACCTACAGTTGCAGGTTTGAAAATGAAGATATATCAAAGCAACTAGAGGGTCTAGAAATGACTATTTTACCAGATAAAGGTATAGATCAATATAAGGGACTATATACCTTTCCAGACGGGTCTAAGTTTGAAATTTTTCTGAGTGCGAGGGATATCAAGTCCCGACTCGTCCACTGTGTATGGTGGCTGCTCATCTCACGACACCGGTGATATTGACAATTATAGATCTCTACTCCTCTCTGGTGACATTGACAGTTATAAATCTCTGCTCCTGTCAGGTGACATTGACAGTTTTAAATCTCTACTCCTCTCTGGTGATATTGGCAGTGTTATAAATCTCTACTCCTATCTGGTGATATTGGCAGTGTTATAAATCTCTACTCCTATCTGATGATATTGGCAATTATGAATCTCTACTCCTCTCTAAGGATATGAACAATTATAGATCTCTACTTCTCTTTGGTGATGTGGACAGTTATAAATGTTTACTCCTCTCTGGTAATGTTGGCAGTTATAAATCTTGACTCTTTGGTGACGTTGACAGTAATAAATCTCCTATATCTCTACTCATCTTTGGTGATGTTCACAATTATAAATCTCTACTCCTCATTGGTGACGTTCATAATTCACAATTGTCAGTCATAACTCTTTACTCCTTTCCAGTGATGTTGACAATTATGCCTCTTCACTATGGTAACATTGACAATCATAACTCTCTGTTTGCCTGATATTTAATCTTTGTTTCCATATGTCAGGTATCTGATCTTAAAACTGACAGTCATGACTTTCAGATCGTCAGTGTCATGGGTAGCCAATGCAACAGTCACAGTCGATTAGTTGATCAGCAAGCCGTGATAGGTTGATTGCGGCGGGTCTGTGTCATATTGTCTGAAAAAAACTAGATAATATGCACATGGAACTTGGGAGAAGATTTATTCAGTTCTTCCAGTTAGAAGACATTTTAATTTTCATGTCATTTCCATTTAAAGAAATAAAAACTGATTACGGGGAAGAACTAAAATATCAGAATAGTGGAAGTGCCTTCAGCTGTATTGGGCATATAGGGCTAGACCTGTATTTTATAGACCAGTCGGCACTAGGTGGGTGATGGGGTCAGCATCACTCCAGGCGCCTTTTCTTCCCAGGACTGTACCTGGTACCCACTCATAGCTGGGTCGACCTGGGAGCCAAGGTAATGTTTGAAGAATGCTCGTTTCCATTAGGACCTGAACCTAGGACCTTCTGACCCACAGGCAAGCCATAAGGATTCCCAATTTAGCACATAGGAATAAATTTCAGAGGAAATATATTGTAAAATATTACTTGCATAAAGCTCACGGAAACCCTGCTAAAGCTATGGCCACGAAACCCATGCTAAAGCTATGGCCACAATATTAACAATTAATATTCATCTCTGTCTGTGGCTTAGGCATTGCAGACATGCTCCCTAAATCCAAGATACCCAGTTTAATTCCAGCTGCAGCTGATTTGGCTGCAAACCGCTTTACAACAATGATATCAAGAGCTAACCATTCAACAGTTGAGTTTAGTTGATTCAAGAAGCGACATCACAGCACTTGGGGCATTTTCATAAGCACTGCATCTCCATCTTCAGCAGCAAGTGCAGAGTTCAGATACTAATGGTGCCAGTAGCATTCTGATTTAACATCCGCCTTGCCTTTCCTCTGAGCCTTAGCATCTGCCAGAACCCCTCTTCACTCCCTGCTGCATCAATTTCACCAAATTGTGGTGATCCGTCTGCTCCTTCGAACTGTACACGCTCTCCCACAAGGCAGTAACCAAGTCTGCCTCATCACGCATCAGTATTCCACCAAGCTGTGCAGAGCCAGCCAGTCTTTCTGCCTGTTCATTTCCCAACACACCGGCATATCCCGGAGAAAAAAATTCAGACAATACTCCTTAATGTGTGTAAGTGTTGTGTTCTCTAACCACCGGACCGCCTCCACTTTCATTCTTAAGCTGGATGTTGTGGTATCATATGCTAGGCTATCCTACACTGTCGACCATTAACTTCTGCTAAGAAACCCCAAGCACCTCTTTTGCCTCTCAACCATTCAACAAACTATGGCTAACCACTGAGAGTAAAATAAAATGTAATAATCAAACCAAACAGTCAAAAGATACTGGGGTTGTTTCTGCAATATCATGTAAAAGATGTGCAGCTAACTTTATGATTTATCTCTCATCTCCTTTAGGGTGCTGTGTCCATTATCTTTCGTGGTAACAAAAATCAGCGAGGCATGGAGGCTGAATACATCGAGAAGTTTGCTAATCCATTCCCAGCAGCTGTCCGTGGTATGTTTCTTGTGTTTATCTTATGTGTTTGCCCCTAAATGCGGAGTTGGCACATTTTGTCATCAACGTATGAAAGTCTTGGTAGCTGTGATAGGATAGTGATTAGAAGCTTGCCTGCTGAACTAAGGATCTTGAGTTCAATTCTTTGTTGTGGCAATTTTTGTTTTTATTGCCCTAGGTACTTAGGTCAACCAAGCCTAAACTTGGTACCTGGAATTTTCTTGGTGAGTGCAGCAGCTGATATGTTGCCAAATTATCCATGGAGTGGCAGAGTTTGAAAAAAAAATCTGGGTTAGGATTCTTCCACTTCTTTAGCATTCCAAGTCCTTGTGGCTCATTGCTGCAGATATCACCTGCCTCTCCATTCATCCTTGTGATTGGTCTTCTCTTTAATTGGTCTGTGCTTTTCAGTTGGTGACTCCAAGTAAGACCACAGTATTAGTAGTAATAATAATGTTCACCTTTTTTACTACTGGCATGAAAAGAGTCCATTACATAATTTTTTAAATATTGTCTTTAGTTATAGTAAAGTCCAATATATTTGTGTATTTCTTCTTTTTCTTCACCTTCACCACCTGTGAACTCCAGTAGAAACTTCTGATTGATTGTCTACTTCTGAACTTTAGTTTTGTTGCAGAGCTTGAGTTTTGTGTGCACATCCGTTTTACCGAGTTGGATTGTTTGTATGCAGACTGTTGGTTTCTTGCCTGTCGTGCAGATACCCTCGGACTTTGAAGGAAACATTCCTGCCCTAATCGATTGACTTTTATGACATGCTTGTTGCAGTGGGTTCTTCCCCCCCCCCCCCCCCAACCCCAACCCCAACCCCACAATGGGACCCTGCAAAACACGGGGATTATTTGTGCTGACATTTGTCTTATTTTTGCAGGATTCGTTGATGACATCATAGAGCCAAGAACAACACGCATGCGGATCAACCAGGACCTTGACATGTTGTCCAGCAAGACTCGAACCAATCCCTGGAAGAAACATGCCAATATTCCACTTTAACATCCTGTCAGGCTCCTAGGATTATGTAAATTTAATCTCACAGTTATCAGAGTTGATGCATTTACATCTTTATATGTTTGTTGTATGGTTTTATGTTAATTATGCTGTTTGGCAGATGGAAATTGTGTTTTTGTTGATTTTCATCCAAGAAAGAGATAAGCATGTTTAGTTCATCTTATGCATTCGCCCTTAAAAGTGCAGTTGGCACATTGTGTTGTGGTTTATAGCTGGGCTGCGATATCCCAACCTTTTGACCCAGCATATTTAATTTCAGCGAACCATTAATTGGTCTTTTTTTAACATGCTTTTTAGAGGGGTAGGGGCCCTGGAACCCATACAGGATAATGTTTAGCAGAGAAACAGATTGTCGGCTAGGAAATGTGAATAGACATGACAGTTTTGGAGGACAGAAGAAAAGTGTTGTATTATAGGAGTGACAGCTGAAGGCCTACTCATACTTGATAGAAAGTGAATGGAGGCTAAAGATGATGGTCACAGAGTGTAGATTCACATTCTTGTTAGAAAGTGAATGGAGGCTAAAGATGATGTTCACAGAGTGTAGATTCACATACTTGTTAGAAAGGGAATGGAGGCTAAAGATGATGTTCACATAGTGTAGATTCACATTTTTGTTAGAAAGTGAAGCAGCATGATGTTCACAGTGTAGATTCACATACTTCTTAGAAAGTGAAGCAGCATGATGTTCACAGTGTAGATTCACATACTTCTTAGAAAGTGAAGCAGCATGATGTTCACAGTGTAGATTCACATACTTCTTAGAAAGTGAAGCAGCATGATGTTCACAGAGTGTAGATTCAGCAGCTTGTTAGAAGAAATTGAAGCAACTGTAGCAGCTGACATAGTTTAGGCTTACACATTTATTGGAGTCTGAAGAAAGCGTAGAGGAGATGTTCCCGAAACAAACGTGGAACCCCACAGATGTGTTTAAAAAATATAGCAGATTCTGGCTCAAATAAAAACTGTTTTGGAAATTGTTGCGTAATGTGTGTTGTACTATATGTTACAACTTAATGCATGTGTCTTATGCATAAATATTTGAGATATTTGTTCAATAATAGAGCAGGTGTATGAATAATGTTCTACAAAATACAAAACTCCACAGCTTTGATTAAAATAAGGAAAACATTCTCAGATAAAAAACATTATCTTGTTATTTAATTTTTTTCTTATATTCCTGAAGGTTAGTTATTCGGCAGACCATCCTCGCACATCGAACCATTCAGTCCATAAACGCTTGTATCCCTTCCTCAGTAAATCCCTCAGTATGCAGCAGCTGACACCACCAGTTCTGAATGGGTTTATTATTAGGTTCTTTTATTTATTTCACCCCATCTTGGGGATTCTGAAATTTCATGGGGGGTTCCCAGGAAAATTGAGTATTATGGGGAGGGGGCGGGGTTAGAGTTAGTGTTAGTCAGTGTTGATTTTACAACCTTTACTACTGGACTTTCCCGGGAACTACCCCCAAAATCTCTGAGTCCCGGAGATGTGGTGAAGTAAAATAACCTATTATAACTCTTTGGCTCCCTGCAGAGTGCTCTTGTCTGGCCTCACTCTTTTTTCTGTTCCTATAAATCTTCTCTTAAGAGGTTCTATAGTAACTGATTAGTGATTTAAGAATAGACATCATAGCACATCATACAAACCCATAGGGACTCCGTCTCCCACAGCAAATGTTTGAAGGTGCAGATTCTAACTGTTCCCATAGCACACTGATTTTATATATATATATATATATATATATATATATATATATATATATATATATATATATATATATATATATACACACTCGCACCCACCCACACACACTCACACACACCACTGTTCTCTTCTTATCAGACATTCCTCCTTGCCGGATTCACACCTGATTCCTCATTACCTTTTACACACGTTTCTTACATTTTTTAATAACTGGTTGCTAAGATCTGTTTTAAAACAGTTTTATTCTCTCTAGTTTGTGAAGTTACATTTTAAATTTTTTTTTAAATTACAATACTCAATAAAGACAAAAATGGACTTCAGCATTGTTTCCTCAATAATGTTCTTATTATACTTAGTAGTAACAGCTGTGGTAGTAATAGTTGTAGTAGTAATAGTTGTGGTAGCAGTAGCTGTAGTAGTAATAGTTGTAGTAGTAGCTTCAACAGAGTAGTAATAATAATGACAATAATAGTGTCAGCAGTAATTGTCGCAGTAAAGGTTTCTTTACATACCAGTGGGGTTTTGGGAATATGAGGCATGACTCATATTTTCATAGACCGGATGTCCCTCAATGGGTGATGTGGTCATCATCCTGGCCATTTTTACTTTTCAGCACTCTACCTGGTACCCATTTAAGTTTGGGTTGACCTGGGAGCCAAGGTCATGTTTAAAAGATATCTGACTATGTGGATTTGAACTCACTGTCTTTGATTCCACAGGTGAATGTCTAGCTGCTACACCGTGGTGGCTCCTAATTGTAGCAGTATGTTTAAGTCATGGAGAAGAATAGGCCAGTGTTTGGAGCCAGTATTTCCATTGTTAAGGAGAAAAGGCCACAGTTTTTCGACACGTTTGTCTTTCATTTGATTCCCTCAGTTATATTTGAATCACAGCATTCTTCTTTTAGTCCATGCTGTGTGGCATTAGCATTTAGGTCTGTCAACAACCTTCTGTCTCGTGTACATTTAGTTGTTTCTGGAAACACTTGATTTTCCATTCAATGATGTCAGACCAGCAACTTCTGTCTCAGTCTCTCTCCATCATGAGCTACTCCAGTATTCTCTTTCTCACGGCTCTTCTTCTTCTTTAGCATTCTTCTTGCTAAAGTCCATGCCGTGAAGCATTGGTAGTCATGTCTATCCACAACCTTCTGTCTCGTATACTTTCAAACAGCTCTGATACAGATGATCATCCATGCCATCATGTCAAACTGTTCAGTATCCTTTCTCTCGGTTTCTCTCTGCCTTTCTGCCCTCTAACTTTCCAACTATCATGATGTAGTCTAGTTTTCTCCTTCTTATCACATGACCAAAGAAATCAGATTGTCTCTTTCTGATGTGGGCAATCAGTTCTTTTCATGAGTTTAAGCATTCATTGGCTATAAACTCGGGTGAAAAGTAATGGTTGCTCCTCCACTCCTGGACTTTTACAGATCTGGCTTTTTTTGTATACAGTCTTTTGGTTCCTTGCTTCTCAGGCAGATGCACTCCCACTTTGAAGGAAACACTCCTCATTTGTTCCCTCCTACAAGGGCAGCAGTGGGTCTGTTCTTTGTTCTCAAAAATAGAGCCTAGAAACCCAGACAGGGAGTTCTTTGGTTGAGGCTGATCTGTTCAGCTTGTTCACTAACAAGTAATGGGAGTTCTTTAGTTGAGGCTGATCTGTTCAGCTTGTTCACTAACAAGTAATGGGAGTTCTTTAGTTGAGGCTGATCTGTTCAGCTTGTTCACTAACAAGTAATGGGAGTTCTTTGGTTGAGGCTGATCTGTTCAGCTTGTTCACTAACAAGTAATGGGAGTTCTTTGGTTGAGGCTGATCTGTTCAGCTTGTTCACTAACAAGTAATGGGAGTTCTTTGGTTGAGGCTGATCTGTTCAGCTTGTTCACTATCAAGTAATGGGAGTTCTTTGGTTGAGGCTGATCTGTTCAGCTTGTTCACTAACAAGTAATGGGAGTTCTTTGGTTGAGGCTGATCTGTTCAGCTTGTTCACTAACAAGTAATGGGAGTTCTTTGGTTGAGGCTGATCTGTTCAGCTTGTTCACTAACAAGTAATGGGAGTTCTTTAGTTGAGGCTGATCTGTTCAGCTTGTTCACTAACAAGTAATGGGAGTTCTTTAGTAGAGACTGATCTGTTCAGCTTGTTCACTAACAAGTAATGGGAGTTCTTTGGTTGAGGCTGATCTGTTCAGCTTGTTCACTATCAAGTAATGGGAGTTCTTTAGTTGAGGCTGATCTGTTCAGCTTGTTCACTATCAAGTAATGGGAGTTCTTTAGTTGAGGCTGATCTGTTCAGCTTGTTCACTAACAAGTAATATGAGTTCTTTAGTTGAGACTGATCTGTTCTTGTTCACTAACAAGTAATGGGAGTTCTTTAGTTGAGACTGATCTGTTCTTGTTCACTAACAAGTAATAGGAGTTCTTTAGTAAAGGCTGATCTGTTCAGCTTGTTCACTAACAAGTAATGGGAGTTCTTTGGTTGAGGCTGATCTGTTCAGCTTGTTCACTAACAAGTAATGGGAGTTCTTTGGTTGAGGCTGATCTGTTCAGCTTGTTCACTAACAAGTAATGGGAGTTCTTTGGTTGAGGCTGATCTGTTCAGCTTGTTCACTAACAAGTAATGGGAGTTCTTTGGTTGAGGCTGATCTGTTCAGCTTGTTCACTAACAAGTAATGGGAGTTCTTTGGTTGAGGCTGATCTGTTCAGCTTGTTCACTAACAAGTAATGGGAGTTCTTTAGTAAAGGCTGATCTGTTCAGCTTGTTCACTAACAAGTAATGGGAGTTCTTTGGTTGAGGCTGATCTGTTCAGCTTGTTCACTAACAAGTAATGGGAGTTCTTTGGTTGAGGCTGATCTGTTCAGCTTGTTCACTAACAAGTAATGGGAGTTCTTTGGTTGAGGCTGATCTGTTCAGCTTGTTCACTAACAAGTAATGGGAGTTCTTTGGTTGAGGCTGATCTGTTCAGCTTGTTCACTAACAAGTAATGGGAGTTCTTTGGTTGAGGCTGATCTGTTCAGCTTGTTCACTAACAAGTAATGGGAGTTCTTTAGTTGAGGCTGATCTGTTCAGCTTGTTCACTAACAAGTAATAGGAGTTCTTTAGTAAAGGCTGATCTGTTCAGCTTGTTCACTAACAAGTAATGGGAGTTCTTTGGTTGAGGCTGATCTGTTCAGCTTGTTCACTAACAAGTAATGCCCTATGAATTTATTAGTTTATTATATAATCTGTGGGAGTCACTGTGGTGAAGCTGCTGGATACTCCTCGGCAGATCGGAAGG